TCATCCATTCATTCATCCATCCACCCATCCATCATCCACATCCATCCATCCATCCATCCATCTATCCATCCATCCACCCATCCATTATCCATCCATCCATCCATCCATCATCCATCATCCATCCATCCATTCATTCATCCATCCACCCATCCATCATCCATCCATCCATCCATCATCCATCATCCATCATCCATTCATTCATCCATCCACCCATCCATCATCCATCATCCATCATCCATTCATTCATCCATCCACCCATCCATCATCCATCCATCCATCCATCCATCCACCCATCCATTATCCATCCATCCATCCATCCAACCATCATCCATCATCCATCCATCCATTCATTCATCCATCCACCCATCCATCATCCGTCCATCTATCCATCATCCATCCATCATCCACCCAACCATCCATCCATCATCCATCCATTCATCCATCCATCCATCCACTCATTCATATTTATTAAGTACTTATAGTTTGCATCTCTGATCATGTTGTTTTGAAGTTTTGGATAAGCTTGGCTTTCCCCAGGCTAGTGGTTCTTAATCTTTTGGGGGTCAAGGACTCTCCCCCAGAAAAATGCACATATGCACATACATGCCATGTTGCTTCCCTCTTCAAAGATTTCTGGTCATCCCTGAAGTCAGGCTGTGGACCCCAGGAGTGGTGGATGCTGTGAAGGGCTGCTTAGAACCCCTCTGGGATTGCAAGACTGATTTCCCGCAGTCACTGGGATCTTGGCTGGAAGATGGCTCTCAACTGTCAGCCCTCTTTGGAGATTGTCTTCATCAGAAGGCAACTGCCTGACCCAAGGTCACGCCTTCATCCAGGGTAGGCTCACTTCGAGTGACAGATCAACGTGGAAGTGCAAAGGGTTATCCCAACGTGGGATAAAGTCTGAAGGGTTGTCCCTTCTCCAGAGCTCTCTGTCAGGACTGCCTCAAAGCTGGACTCCTCCCCTGCCCAAACTTGCATCCTTTCCCTCCCTTCCGCAGGGTGTTTTTCCCAAGAGCACTTGCTAAACAAGGTCCTCCACACCAATCTCCCACTCTGCGTCTACTTCCCAGGGAACCGAGGGGATTAAAAAGCCCTGTGGAAGTTCACTGAGGACAGCAAGCGTGTCTTAATGACTTCGGCATCTCTAGCAGCTCTCACTGGCCAGGGCACATGATAGATACTCCAGAACCAGGTTTTCAATACATCTTAGGGCATTTTCTGTCAGTTCTCTGCTCTGTCCCCCTGGGGTCCCAACGGAAGAGTTGTCATCAGACACCCAGGAGAAAGGGACAGTCCTGCCAGCAGGATGCCAGTGGGACCAGAGCTGTGGGCCTGTTTCTGGGAAATGCACTAGTTGCCAATGAAGCTGTAAATAACCATGGGAACAGAAGTCAAGCTAATTGGCTGCTACAAAGCAGGGGCAAAGGGGCCTGGCTGATGTCAGGGCTGTGTGGTTAGGGGTGAAGGCTCAAGGGGATGGCTGAGAGGCTGGAGGACAGCAGGAATGGGTGGTGCTGGTTGGGGTGGGGGCAGGGGGACTCATTTAGAAGTTAGACCGAGGTCCCCGGAACCTGGAAAATCCCCTTTAGTTTCCACTATTGGGAATTCCTTCACAGAACAAATATCTATTAAGTGTCTCCACTGTGCCAGGCATGGTAGGCAGGATGGCACCTTTGCAGGGCCAGGCCCCTGTGTTTGTGCCTCTCCCTGGCTTTGTCACCTGGCAAGTGATGTGACACCCTGGCCACTGACGTCTGCACGCAGCCCCTAGCGTGTGTGCCCGGCGTTGTGCTGTTTGACACAGATGAGTCTACTTCATCTACTCAGTTGCTTCGTTAAGAGATATGGGTTATTATTATTCCTTCTTTACAGACAAGGAGACAGACCCAGAGGGATCAGCAATGTGCCCAAGGCACGAACCTCATCACAGGGCTGAGAGGAGAGGTAACGCCAAGTCTGGTGGGGTCCCAGGCTGCTCTCCGCCACGATGCTGCTTAACCTCCATGAGCTTCGTTTCCACAGCTCTGAAATAGGTACAATCCACCCCTACTGCCCTGGGTTGTTGGGGACAAATAACCTCTCTCTGTGAGAGGCCTAGGGGTGCCCAGTGAATGTGCTAACCCAAGTCCAGCACAGCGTCCGGCCTGTGGCCAACACTCACTGAGTGTGGTCGACCCAAATGGATCACCTGGGAGTCCCCACCCTGTCCTCCGAATTGCAAATTGGGGACCCCTCTCAGTCCAATGTTACTGCATGATGCAGAAAGCTGTGGCAAGTACCACGGGGACAATTCTCTTGGTGACAAGGGACTCCACTCTCCAGCCACTGGGATTTTCAGGTTTTCCTCAGCAGCAAGGAGCAGAACCAGACGGGGGTGGCCCCCCAAGCCCAGACAGAGAAGGGTGCCAGAATGAAGATGAACGCATTTCAGGTCCAGCTCCTGTCTCGGGTCTCCCCCATAGGCGAACCCAGCTGCTTCTCCTCCCCGCGCCACGACCCCGACTGCAGACATCTTCATATATTAGGGGCATTAACCTTCCCTCCACCGCAGGCCCAGAGGAGAGACGGTGGGCATGTAAGCACTTAAAACTTGAACCCGCAGGTCAGCCCTCCTTCCTCCCTCCTCTGCAGAAGCCCCAGAGTTGGAGGCTGCGTGGGGACAGACGCCACAGCCTTAGAGAGACAAGTCACATCCTCAGCTTCCCTCAACCTGTGCAAGCACCGAGTTGCCATGGCGACGCTGCAGCCCTGAGTTGCAATGGCTGCAGATAGCATGGGTGCTTCTAGGGCTCGCGGGCCCGAGTGGACGCTGTCTGGCCCAGGAGGCCAGGCGATTGGGTGGACCAGGTGGGGGAGGCAAGGGAGGCCTCCTCCTGGCTCAGCTGGTAATTGCTGCTAAGTGAGGGGCTGTCATTGAACCCAATATGCGGGCGGTGCGGGCCCTGCTCGCACCCTGTAATTACTGCACCAGACAGCAGTGCTTACTCCCGGTGGGGGGAAGAGGGGAGACGGTGTGGGGGGAGCAGACAGGAAGCTCTCATCCACCTGAGCCAGCGTGGGGCTGTGGCAGGCTCTCCCACCCTGGAGCAGCCTCTCCGGCAGAGGTGGGAGGCCCCCGGCCCCTCCCCTCGGCTGGCTCTCCCCACGTCATCCAGCATCCGGTGTGGAGTGTGAGCTGCCTCTAACCCCGGCCTCTGAGCTTGCAGAATCCAGGAGCAGGGGCAGAGGTGTGGGCACAGATGAGGCCCCACCTCCGGGGAGCTCTTGGGGAGTGGTACCTCCGTTCTGAGAAGCCAGTCTGCATTATGACTGCGGAGCTGTCCTAATTCCTCCAAAGCCCAGAGACTCTGAGGTCCTCAGGCTAGTCACTGCCCCTCTCCTGGGTCTCAGTTTCCCTCGCTGGAAGACTACAGGTCTCCATCATCCTTAAGGGTTCTTCTCCAGCAGGGGTTGGCAAACCAGAGCCGGCAGCTTCTAGAATCCTCATTTTGGAAGTAAGGTGTCTCTGGAACAGAGCCACACCCTTTTGTGTCTGTGTCTGGCCACCTTCCTGCCAGAAGGGGGACAGTAGACGCGAGTAGCTGTCACACGGACTATCTGGCCCTTTACAGAAAAAGTTTGCTGACCAGTTTCTAAAGTGGAACTATTTTCCTAGGCTTAACGGAGTGAGCTTTTGTGGCCCCGATGTGATTAAAGCAAGTCATACCAAGCCCCATCCTGGTGCCCACCCGAAGACACCCCAGTCCTCTTCCAAGGACCCCAGGCTGGAGTCAGAGTGACGGCGCCGCGTGGTGCAATGGCGCCACCTGCTGTGAGTGCCTAAAAGCACTTCGGCCTGGAAGTACTTGGCCTGGGGTGGTGGCGGGGGAGGTGGGGTGTTGGTTTGCAGGCGGCCGCCAGGCTTCAAAACCCTGGCAAATCAGAGTCAGGATCTCCGCCCAGCCTTCCCGTTTTATAAGGACTGCAGTGTAGAGGGGCGGCGTGACTGGTCCAAGGTAGGTGAGCAGAAAGCTCAGGTCCCAGAGGCCCATAGGCCATTCTATCTACATTCCATGGGCATACGCGTGGCATACAGACCTGGCTGTGAATCCTAGTTCCAGCACTCATTTAGGGTCTTGATTCCATAGTTGTTGAAAGAATTTGCAAAATACACACATATATATATATAACATTTAATCTGTTACCAATATTGACTCAATCTTCTGAACAACTGAGATAATTATTCCCATTTCACAGAGAAAAACACTGGTACAGAGAGGTTAAGTAATTTGCTTAAGGTCACACAGCTCAAAGTGGACAGTCAGAATTCAAATCCACGCTGTGAAAGCACTAACCGCCCCAGAATAGTGCTCTCTGCACGTATTTTTTCCTGCCTGTAGGTGTGTTGGGGTCCCGAGAGACGGCACTGGGGCTCCAAGAGGAGTACAAGAGATGCAGGAAGCCTGGAGTCTGGCCAGTCATCTGAAGGCCCCAGGCAGGGGAAGAAAGGGAGAGCAAGGCCCACACCAGCCCCTCCCGCCCCCACCCCTCTAGGCAACACGAAGTGGCCAGTGGACCGTAAATCCTTTATTTCCAAACTATAAATAGACCTGTGCTGAGAAAAGACGCGCTCCAGGTGATGAGGCTCCAGGCTCTCCATCAACCCTTCCCAACTGCTCCGCAGTCTAAACCCGGGCCCCTCAGAAACCTGCTCTGCCCCCTGGAAATCACCACCTGGGCTGTCAGAGCCCGGCAAGCAGCTGAGGCCAGCCCGCTCGCTTTGTCCCACTGTGACTCGAGCGCAGCTTGGGCCCTGCTCCGATCTGATGGTCACCCCTCTGTTCAACCAGTTCCCTGACCGAGCCCCACCATGTGGTCCCGCGCTCCCCGAGGCCCAGCCCGGGTGAGTCCCAGCCCGCTGCTCCCCGGCTGTTGTGAAGAGCCACCTGGGTCCCCAGGCTGCTGTGAGGTGTGAGGCTTGGGAGCAGCCTGGCTCCCAGCGGGTCTCCCGGCCGTGGTCACTGCTGCCCCTGGGCCACAAAGTACCCCTCCTCCTCCTCATTGTTCTCTTCCTCTGGCCGGCTGCTCCGAAGCAGCAGCTCCAGGTCGGGGTGGGAGCCCGGGCCCTTCAAGGGTTTGGGGCCACCATCACCTGGGGAGAGAGAAAAACCGGTTGCAGACCTGATCATGGTTTTCTTGGTGCCCCCCGATGCGCATGCTGAGTCACCCAGGTCCCCCCCAACCCCCCCACTCCCCCGAGAAAACCATCTTCTGAGTGGCAGTGGCAGAACCACGAGGCTGACTTCCTGGCGATGGGCAGCCCAGGCGGAGGCAGCTGAACTGCGTAGACAGCCACCCAGCTGCAACTGCTCTGGGCAAGCTGAGAACCACTTGCCTTTCTTGGCTGGGTGGCTAGGTGGCTGGGGCCCCAGGACTGGGCGGAAGGGAGGTCAGAGGGGCCGAGTCACACGAGGAGCAGGGAGTGTCACCAGAAAAGAGGCTTCTGAAAGGGGCTCGGGTTACCTCTGGAGTGCAGGGCTTTGAGAGCAACATGCAGGGATATGCCCGAGAGGCAGAGGGCAAAGCCCAGCCAGTTCAGGAGGCTGATCTGATCCCCCAGCAGATGAGCTGCCAACAGCAGAGTGCAGACTTCCTGAGGGCAGAGAGGCAGGAAGGGGAAGCAATCAGGAGGAGGGGGCTCCTTTGCAAGGAGGGTGGACGGCAGGGGAGAGCCTGACCCGCCGGAGCTCCTGGGGCCGGGGCAGGCTGGCCAGCAGGGCAAAAACAGGGCTCCCCTGAGCTCGGCGGACCAGGCCTGCCTGCAATGCTTTCCTCCCTTTGTGCTACCGAGACACAGCAAGGGAGGAGGTGCTCTGCACGGTGTTCCGTCAGCATTAAGAGAGGCAAAGCAGACCCAGGGCTGGGAGCACAGAGTGTCCAGCCCACAGCCATGTCCACAGGAGTGAAAGATAGTTGCGCTTCCAGAAGGCACCCACATATGGAGAGCACAACGCTGCCAGAGGGGAATGCAGTATCACCCCGGGCTCCACAGGACACACACTGGCTGCCAGCGGGACTGGTGGGATGACTCACTCTGAGAACCACCGCTCACGCCTCTTCCTAAGCCCCTTGGGGAGACTTATGATTCTGGGTTTAGGCAACACTGCTCTGGCATCAGCGTCTGTCTTGTCAAGGAGAAACTGTACCCCGCCCCCATGGGCCCGAGCAGGGTGGGGTGAGGGGTGGCAAGGGAGGGGGGAGCCTGAGAGTAGAGAGTAGAGGCACGTGTGATGCCAGGCAGCAGTAAAGGCAAACCAGGCAAACACAGGGCACACGTGCTAGTACCGTCCCTTGCTGTAACCATGGCAGACATCGCCAATCAATCATGGAACTCTTTCCCGATGAGCCTGGATGGGGATTCCCAACCCTTGGCTCCAGGCCACTACCAAACGACCAGAGTGGGCATTCATGGTAACAAGAGAATGCATCCCAGGCCCAGTGGAGTCAAAATCCCAGTTCGGCCACCTGCTGGCTGCATGTCCTGGTGGAGGAGCCACCCATCTGTGAACCAGGGAGGACCACCTCCACCCCCCAGGGCTGCAGCCCCGATGAGAGGGAGTTTCAGACAAGAGCACGGCACACAGCACCCTAACCAGGCACCTCTGTCTCTTCTCTGGGGTCTGGGGCGTGGGAGCTGGGACAGAAGCTGTTACTGAGCTTGGGGGCTGTGCTGGAAGACAGGACTGGGGCCACCCCCAAGTCTGTACCTTAAAAATGCCAGCAATGGAGAGAGTGAGGCTGGAGGTTCTGGAGACCAGGAGGAACTCAGAGAACCCCAGACCGAAGGCGAGGATCCCTCCAAGGAAGAGGCTCCCTAGTACCCGCAGGAGCAGCCCGGTGTCCTGGAAACGGAAGATCTTCTCAGACGTGGACAAATGGAGACCTGAAAGCAGAGGGAGAGAGTAGGAGGCCACATGCCGGTGTCCCCAGGGAGCGGGAGACCCAGCATGGGGCAGTCACGCCCCCCAGGCACCTGTGCTCTCGCTGTGGCCCCGAGGAGGGGGATGGCAGGTGGAAGAGAACGCTGTGCGGATGGCCTGACACCTGGGGACCTGGGGAAGCAGCGAGGGCCCCCCCAAGAGCCTGCGGGCTAGGGTGGAGGGCCTGGCACCACACAGAAAATCGGACAGAAGCCTCTGTCCTCCCACGGTGCTGACCTGTCCATCTTTGGGAAGGAACGTGACTTCACGTGGCCTCTGCAGCCGTGGTAAGTAGTGGGCCAAAGAGAGGCGGGGTAGCCCATTGGGTGATGAGTGACGAGTATCAGCGCCCTGGACCCCAGGGCGAGCCCTTGCTCTCAGTGTCAGGTGGACCACCTATCAACAGGGCCTCATTTTATCCTCCCAAACCTCCACTTTAATCTGGCTCTTGCCATCACACGGCTGTGGGACAAGGCTGAGACGTGCCCCCTCTCGGGACCCGCTCCCCCAGTGATAAAATGAGAGCATTTAGACTAGACCTGCGTTCCTCAGACAATATAACGTGGGGGACGGTTCTCAAAAAGTAAACGCACACACATAAATATAGGACGAAGCCTTGTTCTCGAGACACCCCCACGGGCACCCACACACCAAGTCTGGCATGACTTCTAGAGGATTCCTGGCCCTCCAACACCGTCCCTCAGAGTGACTCCGTGGCTCTGTGCAGGAAGGGCCCTGAGGGAGGCACAGAGGAGACACCTGTGGGGGCTGGAGACGGACCGGGCACTCTGAGGTTTTTGGAGGGAAGCACCAGAGAAATGCAGAATGACAGTCCCTCCCAGACAAACAGCGTCCCGATGTAGGACATCTTGTCTGGTGCTGGGCTCAGCAGTACTGCAAAGTCGTCAGCGAATTGATGGGAATTCGGGAAAGAGCAACATAAGTAATGAAGGTGCTTGGGGGATTAATTTACCAGAAAAGATTAAAGGAGCTAAATCCATGCAGCTTTGCTAAATGATGACGACCAGAGCTTTCGGCTGAGGGTGTGCAGGGATGGGGAAGGGTGTCCATGGCCAGGACGGGAGGGGGCAGAAGGCGAGGGTGGGGGGGGGGATGTTAACTGGAAGAAAAAGGGGGGCTGCAGAATCATTTTCTCAGAGAGGTTCGAGACGCTTCACGGCTTGAAACTTAAATGGATGTGGGACAGAATTCTCTGTAATGACCCCAAGGACAGAATGAACGGACTGAGGGAAGAAGGATAAACAGGGACAGAGACTAATCTCGAAACCCGGGAGGGAGGAAGGAAGGAAGGAGGCGTGCACTTGCAGCCTGGACAGTACTCCCTGCCTCTCCTTCTCTGGGAGGTGATGGTGGGCGGGGGGGTGGTCCCCCCTACCCAGCCACTGCGCCATGGCCAGGGCCACACACACCATCCCACACACGTCCACCCTCGGAACCTACTGATGCTTTCCTGCGATGCCCTGCACCTGTCAGCCCAGCAAAGCCTCCCCCAGCCTCCAAAATATGTGGCCTGGGAAGTCTTTTTGTCTTGGCTTTCCACCCTAGCATCCTGAAAGAATTCCTGGCCCTCTGCTCCTTCTAAGAGACAGAACACATCATGGTTAAGAGGAAGGACTCAGGAACCAGCTGCTGGAACCAAACTCTGGCTCGTTGGGCAAGGTTATTTTTACTTCTCTCCACCTGTTTCTTTGACCTGCAGAATGGAAATAATGCTGGTACTGCCACATGGGGTTTTTGGGAGTATAAGAGTTAGTATGTTTAAAATGATCAGAACAGGGGCACCTCGGTGGCTCAGTCGGTTAAGCATCTGCCTTCAGTTCACGTCATGACCTCGGAGACCCAGGATCGAGCCCCGCGTCGGGTTCCCTGTTCAGCGGGGAGCCTGCTTCTCCCTCTCCCTCTGCTCTTCCCTCTGCTCATGTTCTCTAATAAATAAATACATCTTAAAAAAAAAAAAAAGGTCAGAACAGCCCTGGCATAGCTGTCAGGCTGTACACATCCACCGTCATGATCGTCTGTTGTCTTTTACATAAATTTTCTGCATAAGCATTTATCAGGCTGGATTCCAGCCACCTGGTTTAATGTCTGTCCAGCCCTTAGACCAGGCCCTGCCAATGGAGAGACCGCATCTTTGATCTCTATAACCTCTGCAGCTACCACGGAGCTGGGCTCAGAGCAAGGAAGGGGGATCTGTTGTATTGAGGTGCCCCCAAGATGTAAGACCCCTACGTACCTTCAAAGATGGCGAAAAGAGGGAAGAGCCCCAGAAACATGAGTGGCTGCAGGTGGAACATGGTGTCGATGGGGTTCTGGAGCCCTGCAGAATGAGGACGGGGGGTGAGTCATCAGGCCCAGCCTGCCTCCACCCTGCCTGGTGCCCGGAGTCCTCTCTCACCAAGTTCCGCCTTCTGCAGGAGCATCTGGGTGAGGGTCCAGCGAATGCCACCGATGAATGAGGCCCCCAGCACCAAGGCAAAGCCCTCCACGTTGAATTGCGTGGACTTGTAGGTGAACATGAAGAGACCCCCGGCGATGAGGAGGACCACCAGGACCAGTGCCGAACGCTATCAGGGTGGGGAGCAGGGGCCACTGACTGCAGGGTCCTGAGGTGCTCAACCCTGGAGCTTGGGTTCAGGAGCTGTGTTGGCTGACTCTGGGGCAAGAAACCCTTCTCCCCTGTGACCTTGGGGGTCCCGGCCAGCTCCGTCCCATCAGCGTAGGCAGGGCTGACATTCAGTGGACATGTACCCAGCTTCCCTCTTTGATCTAACCTTCTGATGTGCTTTCCTACAGCTGTTCTAGGCCCCCGGGAGGTTCCCTAGTACCCTGGACCTTGCAAATAAAGGGCGACTGCCTCCAGGACCTGGCTGCACCCGGCCCCTGTCCTTGAACCCTTTCTCTTTCTGTCACTCTTTTGCTCATTACACCTGCCACGCCAGGTGCTAAGTCTTCTCAGCACTGGCCTGTCCTAGGTCCTTCCTCAGCGACAGGAGTTATTGCCACCTGGGCTGGGCTTGTCTCCTCTGCCACCCACAGTGACAAGCCACTGCTCAGACACCCTTTTTAGTCTTAGCGCCTGCGGGTGCAGAAGGGGCCAGGGGAGCTGCGGCCTCACCAGCTCCTCCAGCTTGAAGAGCAGGGAGAAGATCAGGATGAAGAGGACAGCAGAGGACTTGGTCATCGTGTACCTGCGGGGACAGGTTAGCCGCGACGCAGTGCCGCGGCCCACGCTCAGACCCGCCGCCGGCACAGGAGCCCACGGACTGTGCTAGAAAAGGGGGGAGGCTCTGGGGACCTCTGACTTCCCTGAGGGCAACTGGCTCTGCTCAAGGCAGCTGGGCAATGTGGGTGCAAAAGACCAAAGGAAGGTGGCCTGAGTCATCTGGGCTGGTATGTGACCTTTAACTGGAAGAAACCTCTGACGAGGGGCCTCTGACCATGGCCAGGGAGAAGAGGCTGCAGGTGAACCCTGGGCTCGCCGCCTCCTCTTACTTCTCTGCTCCTCCACGGAGACCGGGATCAGGAGGGAAGGGGGGAAGGGGGAAAAGAGAAGGCAGGGATTGTGCACCCCGAAGTACAAGGCCAGAGGTGAGGAACAGCTGTTACACCTGCCTCTCCGTGCAGGTCAGTGCCCTTCTTCCCCGGCATGACTGGCGCCGTTCTGCCGAGCACCTGGCTCCCCCAGCCCCCGGGCAGGCAGGCACAGCACCCCTCGGAGCGCGTCAACTCCCCAGAGTGCTGCTGTCAGGGCGGAGCTGAGAGCAGGCGCCCGCTCCCAGAGAGTGGTGGTGTGGCCGGCCCCCAGGCCCGGGGCGGGGGCAGGGGGGGGCCTAGACAAGGTCAGACAGAGCCTGAGCCTGGCGGGAGGCGGGGGGCTGGTACTCACAGTGAGACGGTGATGTAGAGGAAGCTCCAGTTGGACAAGCCCACATCAAGCGCTGTCGCCAGGGCTGTGGAGACAGGGGCGCCCACAGCCAGGGCGGGCCGGCATGGGCGGGCCAGGTGTTCAAACACTTCCATGAGGCCCCGAGTGCCCCCTGCTTTGCCCTGAACACCCGGCTTTCTCTCGGGCCCTTAGGCCTTCCTTTCACTCACAGCAACTGAAGGGTTAACTCCTGGCCCACAAAGGGAGGGGGTGCTGCTCCAGCATTAGGGCTGCAGGCCTTTCTGATCTGATCCTTAAGTGCTGTGAACTTCCCATCCCCCCCCCCCCCAGGAAGAGGATTAATCCCCTCTGGTCCCAGCATCCCTTATGAGCAACTCTTCAGAGTGGCTTCTCCTTCCTCAGGATGGAAGGCGCACCCCTCGTGCAGGACCTGGTCCTCCAGGATCTGTTCCTGCCACCCTCTCTTTCCGCCCACGTTTCCTCACCAGCGCAGAGTTCCCAGCATCCCGAGACACTTTCCGTTCCCCTGCCGACCTGCACAGGCACTAAACGCTCGGCCATTTCAGCCCACGCTCTGGGAGGCCCTCCCCGCTGGGCCTGGGCTGACTCCCCGCTCTGTGCTCCGAGGTGCCCCCCACTGTCCCACTGCAGCAAGGTGAGGGCAGGCGTGGCCTCAGTGCGCCCAGGCAAGGCCAGTGCTGCATGGGAGGCTTTTCCCGGTGCGTGTGAGCATGTGTGTTGTGTGCATGTGGGGGGGCGGGGAGGACACAAGAGGCAGCAGTGGGGCTGGGGGGAGGCAGGCAGAGAGGAATGAAGTGGGGGGCGGGGTGGAGAGGGCCTCTGCTCCAAGCCACCAAGGCTCCTTGTTCTTAGCCCACGGCTTCCACACGACCCCCCTCCAGCCCCACCCGCCCACGGCCGCCCCACGACCACGTACCTGTGGGAGCTACTCTCCTGAGGTAGTCCGTCCAGCTCAGCACCACGCGGGCCCTGTGGCTGGAGCACTGAACCAGGGCCCTGGACAGGGCAGAGAACAAGAAGATCACGGCCAGGTGCAGCATCGTCATGAAGAGCGGGAAGTGGAAGCTCTACGGGACCCAAAGCAGAGACAACCGGGCGGGTTCACAGCCCCCCCCACGGCCCCCCACGCAGCCCCCTCCCCTCCACTGCGGGCAGTGGCGCTAACTGGGTGCTTCATCAGGGCTCTACAGCGGCCAGGGGGCTTCCCCCGCCCCCGGACACTGCAGTCACTTGGGATGAGAGCCCCGTAGTTCCAGTTGTGGAGACCAGGCCGAGAGCAGGTGGCAGACCAGGGCTCGGTCGGACCATGGTGCTGTCCCCATGGCTTCCACAGGCCTCTCAACTTCCTGCTCCAGCCCCCCGCCCCCCAGGTCACGGCTAGCACTGGCTGGTGTGGCCCAACCGGTCACGAAAGTACTGAAGTCCTTCTCTACTCGCTGTCTCCCCCTTTCCCGATTTCCCCTCGATCCACACATTTGAGGGGAACCCCTGGCGCAGCAGGGCTCTAGGGCCCTGTCCCATCACTAGTGTGACTGGCTTCCAGTCTGATTAGTTGAAGCCCGTGCCATCCTGTTGCTAAATATTTGGGGACGCAGGGGCCATGGCCACAGCCCCCTCTCCCCCAGCCCCCCGCACCGCAAGGCCTCCCATTACCTTTGTCAGCCATTTGTTGTAGAAGGTGATGCCGATGGAGAAGCAGTAGTAGAGAAGGACCAGCCCCAGGGTCAACACGGCCTTCCACACAAACGCCACGTCGAGGGCCCACCTCCCCATCCGGGGAAGCTGCAACTCCCTCGCTCTGGGTCAGTGGGGGCAGGCACCTCTCCCGAGGACAACCACAGGAAGAGCCGGCAGAGCTGGGCCACGACTTTCAACAAGGTCTCCTAGCTGGAGGAGTCCTCTTCGCCTCCATGATTCGGAATCATCCACAGAGCCCCAGGCAGAGGCCTCACCCTAGGGACTGGTGGCCCGAGCCAACCCTCTCCATCATTAAGTGGACACAGGGCTCACAGGTCTCCAGGTCGTGCTAGAGGAATGGAAAGGAAGCTTGGGTGGCCCGGCAGAGCCAGGGCTGCCTGACTGGTCCACCCCACCCCTGCCCGCAGGGAGCAAACCAAAGCGGAAGCTGGGGCGGGGGAGGCAGGAAGGGGCACAGGCCTAGCAATGGGCTCACAGAGCTCCAGTCACATCCACTCTGTCGCCTCAAGCCGTTCTCTACGAATTGCCGCCAAAGTGACCTTTTAAAAATGTAAATCGGATCATGTCAGATCAGATGTCAGCCCTTCAGTGGCTCCCAGCGCTCTTATGATAAAGACCAAGAGCCTCCCTGTCAGCTAAGCCGTCCTGACCTGTCCCTGCTGGCCTCTCCAGCCTCAGCTCCAGGCTCTCTGTCCCCATCCCACCGGCTGCCTCAGTTCCCCAAACACACAGGCTCTCTCCTACTGCCTGAAGGAACAGACGCGCTGCCCACCCTCTAGTCCTCTCTCAGCTGATGTTACTCAACTTCAGCTCAACCGCTGCTTCCTCAGGGACGACCCCTCGATGGGGTGCTCCCACAGCTCCCCTACTTTCCCTTTGGTGCACTTGTGCAGGGCATGCCCATCTGAGTGGTGTCTGTCCCCTGGGAGGCTGTGCGCTCCAGGAAGACAGGGACCACTGTGCTCATGGTAGTTTTGCACCCACTGGGCACGCCGTGAGTTGTCCACGGTGAGTTGTTCAATGACTCAGTGCAAGAGAGTGGGCACTTGGTTTTCAGGGCACTGACCTGATCTTTAAGGTATTAAAAATGGACCAGGAAACCAATACCTACCCTGCCCTTAGCCTCTAAGGATCACTCCCATAGAGGCGGTGCCTGCTTTAGGGTCTTGCCTAACTAAACCACTCCCAGCCTATCAATCTAGGCAACCCTAGTGAGGGTCCAGAGCACACGAGGTCTGAGGAGACCGGGCTGACCCAGGTCCATGGCTATCCAGCCTGCTGCCTCATGTGTGTGTCCCTTCAGTTCCCATCTCCTCTTCTGAGACATTCCCAACCTGCTGAAATGCCACCTCCTCGAAGCCTTCCTAGAACCATCTGATCCAACATACCCTGCTTTCCCCACCTCCAGTCCTTTCTGAAGGGAGTCATCTCATTCAGCTCTGTACGCTGGGAGCTGGGTTATCACCGCCCTCCCCCGAGGCAAACTGGAAGCTAGCGTTAAGGCTTTGCTGGAAGGATATGGTAGGGCTGCGGTTCTCCTGAGGGGAACTTTGGAAACCTGTGAGGGTGTTTTGGGGGAACTCTCCTAGCTTTTAGTGATATGGTGGGGGGGGTCCCTGAGAGTGACAGTCCACATTAACTAAGAATTGCTTGCATCCTTTGTAACCTTGACAATCCTGTAGGTATAAGACTTACTTATAATTACCTGAACCTCGAACCCAACTTTTTTTTTTTAAGTAAATTCTAGGGCACCTGGGTGGCTCAGTTGGTTAGGCTGCTGCCTTCGGCTCAGGTCATGATCCCAGGGTCCTGGGATCAAGCCCCGCATTGGGCTCTCTGCTCAGCAGGGAGCCTGCTTCTCCTTCCCCCTCTGCCTGCCACTCCCCCTGCTTGTGCGCTGTGTCAAATATATAAATAAAATATTTAAGAAAAAAATTGTTTAAAAAAATAAAGTAAATTCTATCCCCAGCATGGGGTTCGAACTCCCAACCCTGAGATCAAGAGTCACACGCCCTACTGACTGAGACAGCCAGGCGCCCCAAGAACCCAACAGTTTTATCTGTGATGCAGAGCAGTTTTTCCATGGTTCTACTATGCACTACAATTTCCAAGAGTATGTTTGCCATGCACATGTTTTTGATATAACTGTTTTTGATAATGAGTTTGGAGAAACCACACCATCTACAGCAGCAGCCCAGCATGGCCATGGCGCTGTGCACGGTGGCCAGCACATTCCCCGAGGTCCCGCGGGTGGTGGGAACACCAGCGGCTTCACTGTGGCTTCTAGCATCCTTGTACCCAGAACTGACTTACTGAAACACATTCTATTCTCAACGACCTTTTATTATCAGTACGTTGACATCTCCCTGTCACCTCCAGAAGAATCTCCAGTGGCCTACTCGTCTGTCCATGCCTGGATGTCTAATGCCAGGCACTCACCCCCCGCCTGCCCAGCACGGACTCCCGTTTTCCAAGAGCTGTCCAAACCTGCCCCTCTTCCCACCTCAGCCAGGGGCACCTCCATTCACCTGGATGCTCAGGCCAAAAATCCTGTTCCCATCCTGAGTCCTTGCTCCCTTAGCCCACCTTCAATCAGCAAATATTGTCATCTCAGTCTTAAAAAAAGGTCCCCAATATGGTCACGTCTCCAACTCACCACTGCCCTCCAGGCCACCGTCCCCCCCCCCCAATACAACACGACAGGTTAGTCTCCTCTGCTTCTGCCCGCACCTTCCCCCCCGCAGGCTCCTGCTGGCACAGCCGGAGAGCAGGGTACATGGGCACCAAATCTATGCCTAACAGACCTTAAGGCCCATATTCTTTCCCTATACCCGGGTTTCTCAGTCTTGGCATTATTGATACTCGGGACCAGATCATTCTTTGTGCATTGTGAGATGTCTAGGAGCGATCCTGGTCTCTACCTACTAGACGCCTAGAGCCGCCCCTCCTCCTCATCCCAAGTTGTGACAACCAAAAATGTCTCCAGATGCAGCCAAATGTCATGGGGGGCAAAAGTGCTCCCTGCTGAGAATGACTGCTTACACCACACAGGCAACCAACAGTGCATTCTACCTTCTAGCACGCGCTCCCCGGGGTTCCCACCCATGGCAGGGCAGTCTGGACCTTCCTGTGAGTCAACTTCTCGCATCTTCTGCTTTTGGTGCAGTTCCTGCTCCAACAGAGCAATCTGTGCCAACCCCCACTCCCCGCCTCCTGTTCAAATCCCACCCTTTCTTCAGCCAGTCCAGGTCCCCCACCTCCAGAAAGTCCCTATGACTACCTCAGCCCACAGGGAGCACTGCCTCCAAGTTAACACTCATTCTCTTATTGTTATTCAGTCACCTAACCCCAAACACAAAATCAGTCCTCAGCTAGAGAGGCTCTTGGAAATCATCTAGCCATTTACTCAATGGCCATTTATTAAGCACCACTGTATACCTAGCACTGGAAATAGAGATGTGTAACTGATAAGGTCCCCACCCTTCTTTTATGATAAGGGAAACCAGGCTTAAAGGGGCAAATGCTCTTTTTCAAATCTCACCTGCCAGAAAAGGAATTCCATACTCGGCATTACTCCCCAGGGGACAGCCTTAGCTGGGGTGACAGCCACACCAGGGTAGAGTTGGTGCCCAGCCCCCTGGAGCACCTGGCTCCCCTCAATCTCTATGACTGTAATGTGGGCAGTGCAGTTTAGTGGTGCAAGTGTGGGCTTGGAGTGAGAAAGACCTGGGATCCAGTCCTGGCTCCTCTATGAACACTGGGACCCCCGAATGACCTGAACTCTAGACCTCAGTGTCCAGTAAAGGAGGATAAAATCATCTGCCTCTTGGGAGGGGAGTCAATGGCATCCAGTAAAGCGCTTGATGGTGGCTTGTGGCAGGGGCTTACATCCCTCCTGGCCCCCTTACAGCAAAAGTCCCCCAGGGCCCCCAGCACTACCATCCTTGCTCTCTTGCAGCCCAAACTCACTTCAGCCTGTCCCCACTGCTCCACTGAGTCACCACACCTTCCTCCTTGTTGCCCCTCTGAGGACCAAGTCTCTGTTTTCATCAGCACCTTAAAAACTGACCACTTCCTCCTCCTGGTAAAGCCTCTTGGATGCCCACCACACTCTCCTGCTTTTTCTTTTCTTTTTTTAAAGATTTTATTTATTCATTCGAGACACAGAGACACAGAGAGAGAGTAAGCATGAGCAGGGGGAGAGGCAGAGGGAGAAGCAGGCTCCCGGCTGAGCCAGGAGCCAGACGTGGGGCTCGATCCCAGGACTCTGGGATCATGACCCAAGCCAAAGGGAGACGCTTAACCATCTGAGCCACCCAGGCGCCCCTCTCCAGCTTTTTCTGCTGCTTTTCTGGACTCCTGGACTTCTTTGCTGCCTCCTCCTGTCAACCAACCTGTAAAAGTTCATTCTCCCGAGTAATCTCATCCCATCTGATGGACATTCCAGTGATTTCTAAATTCTTTTCATTAGCCCTACCCTTTTCTGCCAGCTCCAGGCTGGTACATCGGAGTCTCCTTGGTAGCTCCACCTAAGATACCTCAAACTGAAGGTGCCCCCAACCTATTCCAAAGTCATTAGTAAATGCCAGCACAATACACCTGGTTACTTAAGCCTAAGTCCCCAAATGAATGATGAACTCATCCTTGACCACTCTTTCCTTCCTTCCTCCAATCCTAGCCTGTCAGTTCCTCCTCCCAGATCCCTGTGGACCAGCTACCCGTCTTCACCTGCGCTCGGCCATCAGTCTAAGCCACGCTGATCTCTCACCTAGGGACTGCAGCGGTCTCCTAACTGGTGTCCCTGCTTCCTCCTTCCCCGACACAGCCAGGAGTCTACACAGCAGCGAGAGCGAAAGCTTACGCACCGACGGGAGACCACGCCCTCACAGGGCGAATCCCAACCCCCGAGCAGGCCCGCGAGAAGGACCTTAAACCCTCCGGCCTCTGCCCGTGTCTGCAACCTCGTTCTCCCGCCACTGCCCCGGAGCCCGCCACGCTGGCCCCTGGCCACTTGCCAGGCACGTCGAGCCTGCGTCCTTCTTTGCACTGGCCGTTCCCTCTTCCGCAGACCTTTGCTCAGCTGAACCCTCCTCGAGGGCCCGCTCCTCATCCTCTTGGCACCTCCCACCAGCTGACGTCGCCCTGTTTGCCCACGTGTTTACTGCGCGCCCCGCACTCCCACCCCACCGCGGGATGCGGCTCTCGGCGGGCCGGGCCGCGTCCGCGCAGTTCCGCCCGAGTCGGGATCCGGCCCGTCGCCGCGCGCGCAGGAAGCGCCGGGGAAGCGCGCGCGGCAGGCGGCCGGGGAGGGCCAGTGGAGGCCCCGGCCCCTCCACGGCGCGGACACGGAGGCCCGGGAGGGACAGGAGCTCGGGCGGGCTGCGGCGCGCAGAGGCCAGCGGGGACCCCGCTTCCCGGCCTTGGCCGGCCCTCCCCCGCCCTCGGGAGCGCGCGCAGGGCCCGCGGCGGGCCCGCGGCGCGCCCGCTCACCTCGGCCGCAGGCGCTCCAGGCCGGATCCTCCCGCCGGAAGTGCCGGGCCTAGCGCCGCCGCGGGAGGGCACTTCCGCCAAAAGACGCCGAGGGGCGGGGCCTGCCGGCGGCGGGACGGGGCGGAGCTCCGGAGGTCGGCCCGCTGGCACCGTCCTTGGAAACCCAGCGCTGAGCAGCCCCTGTGCTGTCTTAGCTTGTCTCCTGCGCTCCATCGGCCTCGCTCTGGAGCCCCAGTGCGTGCTGCGGAGGCATGCGCACCCGGGGCAGCTGGAAAATAGCCACCTGTTTACTTTTTTTTTTTTTTAAGATTTTATTTATTTGACAGAGACAGCGAGAGAGGGGGCACAAGCAGGGGGTGGTGGGAGAGGGAGAAGCAGGCTTCCCTCGACCAGGGAGCCCGAATAGGGGCTACATCGGGACTCGATCCCAGGACGCTGGGATCATGACCTGAGCCGAAGGTAGACGCTAAACGACTGAGCCACCCAGGCGCCCCCACCTGTTTACTTCTATTGAACAGATTAATTTACCTTATTCCAACCCAGTGCTGGGCAATCACAGAACCACAAAGATAAAGAAATCTCTCATGGGCTTTTTCTTCTGCGAGCTTAAGCCGGCTGGGGAGTGTGAGAAGTCAGGGGCATTAAATTTTAGGACTTAGAAGATCCGTGGGAGATAATAATACACATTTGTGAAACATTTGTGTGCCTTAAACTTTCTAAGAATTATCTTAATTTCAGTAGATTGAGTGGGGGGTGGGGGGCTGTCAGGGCAGAGGAAATGAGGAGAGGGGAAGGCTGGGGCCTGGCTTAAAGCCCAGTTGTTTATAAGGAGAGTTAAAAGCTGTGGTTGGAAAAGTAGCTGTGGGGCAGTTGCAGTGGTCTCAAAAATGCCAGCTAGGAAATTCAGATCCCACTCATGTTACAGGCTGGATTTAAAGAGGCAGAGCCTGGCGCAAGAACCCCGAGGACGGCAGAGCAGGCTAGGGTTGCAGAACGGGGGCCAGTTAGGGGTTTTTTGCCCTCTCCTCCCGGTGCCTCCTGCGCTCTCTTCTAACACTGGCTGCAAACGTGCATCCTTGTGAGTGACTCGGCTGGCTTCCCCGGCCCCTCTGAACATAAGGTTCAAGCCCAGAGTGTAAGCAGTGCATTATGCAAACCCCTGCTGCTGCCCCCCGCCCCTGCCAGCTGGCATCCTGCAGCCCAGTTTGCTCATTCAGCACTTACCAAGTACCCACAATGGCACCCATCACTGCCCGAGGTCTTGGCTGTGTTCAGTCCTCAAGGCCTGTACTGCATGCATTTGCTGCGCTTTTCAAAAGAGCTTGTCCTCGCCCCCTTCTCCCTCAGAGGGAAAAGAAAGTATCTGTTTTCATCACCACCCTCATTCAAGCCTCCCAGCTACCAAGGCTGAGTTTTGGAGCAACAGTCTAAAACACCAACTGGAAGGCTGGGCACTAAGCACAGGCGACACACAGGGTGAAGAACGTGTCTTCTTTGTAAGTCACAAGAATGTGAGCTGTTCCCTGGCTGCATCCCTGGCAGGGAGGAGAGGGAGGCTATGCTCATGGGGGTGTACGGTATGCCATTCCCGGCCGTGCCCGGCAAGCTGCAGCAGAAAACACTTTGTCCTGGTACAACAATCTGTGAGCATCCTTAACTGTCGAGGTGTGTGTGTGTGTGTGTGTGCATGCGTGTGTGCACATGCCCAGGGAGGGCAAAGTGGTTGAAAAGACACAATGAAATGAAAGCTTGTCAAGGTGAAAGCTCCCTTGGGCGGAGAGCAAGGACAGAGAAACAGCTGTTAACAGGTACCACAGTTTGTACATGAAAGAGTATTTATTGAAAACATGGTTACTGACAGGAAGCTCCTGGCTGCTCTCGGTTACTCTCTTGGCTCACAACTGGAAGTGGTATTTTTCTTTTTCTTTTTTTTTTTTTAGGGAGAGCCTCCAATTTTATTTTCCCTCAAACATTCCGTCCTAGGATAGGTAGATCTTATATAAATATATATACACGTCTGTATAAGTATGGCCTCTAGTAAAGAAAATATATAGTACACTCTTCACCGGGCAGTACCTACCAAGCCGGGCCACCAAGACCAAATACCGCTGTGTTCACATGTCCAAGGACAGAGGCTGGGCGCATGGTTTACAAGTGCCGCAGCACCAGGGAAGCCCGTTGGCACAGCCGTGCCCTCAGCTAGCTCCCTGAAATCATGGCCAATGGCAGAAACCACAGCACTGGGATGGCAGGGGGAAGGGAAGGCCAAACTTCCTGAGGTCGGGGAGGCCAAAGGAAAGCAAAGAGGAGGGGGCTGCCATTCAGGTTAGGCGGGAGATTTCTTTCTAAGGAAGGAAAAGATAAAAATGGCAGGGGGGGGGGGCGAAGGGAGTGGACTCTAGTGGCCTCACCAGTCTCAGCCCAGGCCTCGTCTGGGCTCTCCCTGCAGAGTTCTTTGAGACTAGAGGGTAGGACTTAGCTCGCACGTCTTTGACTTGCCAGGATTAGAGCCTGAGAGCTTGGTAGGGAGAATTTTCCATCCGCCCAGACAACCGTGTGGGCAAGAGAGATCTGGTGGCTCCGGAGACCAGAGATGTTAGAGCCGAGCCTCAGTAGCAGCAGCTTATTGGCACTGAATGAGGCCAGAGTGAGCCCTCACGAAGGCGATGAAAGCAAGGGCAAGGCATCTACCAAGCAAAGGCCAAGGCCTCTGCTTGGATCTGAGACACAGGCACGGGTCACCCAAAGGCAGTCTCTCTGAGGCTCTCAACACGCCCAGAACGTCTGTCCTCTGCGGGCAGCCTTTGCTGGGCTAGCTCTTGCCCACAAGGGGATCCAGCTGACCCGAGAGCAGGCTCAGGAAGAAAAGGTGAGTGACTCTTGTTAACTCCAGCCCAAGCAGTCCCTGGCGTCTGCTCTTCATTCCTCACGCTCCGATCCCGGGCTCCGCAGTGACAGGGAGGGCCGAGCACCCTGCCTTCGTGACTTATGGTGGGCAGGGACCAAGAAGCAGCTCTGGGTGGTCTGAGGGGAGTCTGAGGAATGGCTGGCATTCACTGGCCACCGTGGTCACTACAGATTCTGTACAAGCAAAAGACAAGGCACCAGTCTGTGGATGTTTCTCCTGGGCCCCAAATCCCTTCCTGGGTACCGTGGAGTCTGGCTCCAGGCTCAGCCATAGTGATAGACAAAGTCATAGCTGCTGGGCTCCTTGGGCACTGGCGGCGGGGCTTCAGGAATCTGGATGTTCTCCAGATCCAGAAGCCGCAGCTTCATCTCCATGCTCAGCAGGGTGTCCAGGTCACTCTTGGTCAGCTCGCTGGACATGTCCTTCCCCAGAAGGGCACTGAGGCCGTCGATCCAGATGCAGTACTGTGGGAGCAAGTTGCAAAACATCACATGGTGGCCCCTGGTCAGCCGGAGGGCCTGCGAAGGTCCCTTTGCTGAGAGGATTCACCGTAGTCTCTTTTGACACTACTTAGTATAGGCAGAGCTGATTTGGGATAATGGCAAAGATAAAAGGGGAGGTGATCATTCACTTTCCAAAAACAAAAAAAAAACCTTTTGGCTTTTATGAGGGATTTACATTTAAGCTTCCTAAGATAATCTGAAATATGATTTATTTTTATTTATTTTTTTAAATATGATTTTTAAAAAATGCAACTAATGAATACAGCAAACGAGACCTGAGTACTGGGGCATCAACTAGCCAAAACTGCCCAGAAAATGAGCAATGGTTGCGGGGAGGGAGACACATATTAGGTGAAAAAAGCAGGAACCAAAAGGAATCACTGTAGGATCTCAATTTTGTTTCAAAAACAGTTAAAAAAAAAAAAAAAGCCCAGTCAACAAATGTTAAAAGTAAGTGCTAGAGAAATTGAACTTGAGGGCCTCCTGATTAGGAGGAATACCAGAGAACTGTCGACCTATCCCTCTCTCACTCCTCCTGCTCAGTCTCTCTCCCTGCCTTTGCTCACCTGTCTCCCCACCTGCTAGTTCATTTCTTTCCAACATAATTCCACTGGCAGTTCGGGGCTGCCAAAGTGTCTCCTCTTCCAGAAGCCCCACCTCTAGTCCCCTCTGATGCTCCCCAAGCTCAGCAGCCATGTGGGGCTCAAGCACAGTTACTCATGTAACACCGAGTATCTTCCAGTGCTGCAGGTCCAACTGTAGGCCCCGTGTCAGGCAGGCCAGACCCATCAGCCTCAAAGCGCAAGGCCAGACCCTCTACCACCTGTGCCCAGGAGCCCTGAGGAGGGAGGATCTGTCGGGTTCGCTCAGGAAGGTGGTCATGCGGAGACTGAAAAGAGGGAGAGTTTTCCCAGTCCGGACAAGTTCGGTTATCCCCTGTGACCCTGATTTTCTAACGGCAACTTACGGCTGCTGCTGAAGAGCAGTAACCTGGGGAGCCCAGCCCAGGGGGATGGACGCCAGCCTGGCAGATCGTTGGCGCCAAAAAGCCTTCATGACACGCTGTGGTCCCCTGCCTCTGGGGCATGTCCCTGTTCTGCCCACTCCTGCCCTCAGCTGAAGAGTCACAGAAGGGGCGGGGCTGTCCAAAGCGGGATCACACTGCTCACCTCATACTTGTTAGGTGCAATGAAGTTTAAGGTCTCATCAGGGTCATACAGGATGGAGAACGCCAACTCCAACACCTCCTTAAAGAGAAAGGGTTTCAGTTCCGTGGGGCAGTGGGGTGGCCTGGGCTCTGCACGCCAAGATCTTGGCCAAATTCCTTGTCACCTGGCACCATCACTGAAGGCGCTGACTCAGACGTGGTATCATCAGGCCCCCAGCACATGCACAAGTGTGGCTGGAGACGAGGCATCGTGGTACGAGCGCTAACTCACCCACTCCCCACCTGAGTCACACCTAACATGTGGATGCTCCGAATACTGGAGAAAAGTCATTTCTCAACACTCAAAACCTCTGTATCTCAGAGTCCAAGACTGTAGGTTACCTACATATGTAGGTACATATGTTGGTGATCAGTCTGAAAGTCTTAACAGTTTAGAAACCACCAGAACAGTAACAAATTGTGGCCAAAGAT